TTTTGATGAAAAAGTGCTTCCGGTGAGCTTTCTACCCGGAAAAGCTCACCGGAAGCACTTTTTCATCAAAACAAGATGGCGGCGCCTAGCAAGCCAGCGGCCCAGTATGACTTGTTCCATGGACCGGTCCCGGTCCGCGGACCAGTGGTTGGGGACCCCTGATCTAATCTAATCCATTGTTCAGTGCAGGGATATCTCCACTCCTCTTTATTTAAAACTTTTTAACAATTAATAACACTAGGATCTATAAGAAACAATATATATATAAACCTCAGAAAACAAATATATATATATATTACATGTAAGTACCCGTGAAAACTTAAGAAAACACACACACACACACACACACACATATAACTTTTTATAATTACATTATCTAGGAACCCAAAACTGATTAAGAATAAATTATTATGCCTTTGTCCTGCATAATTAATAAACTTCAGCCAAGTAAACTAAAGGCCATCTTCCGGGTGATTATGATATTGTTGAATTTTTTTATTATTATTATTTGGTCAACTTTTCCATATAAAAACTATGGACCTTCAAGCACCCTATCCCATTACAGTTTATACAGAGTTGGAAGGGACCTTGTAGGTCATCTAGTCCAACCCCCTGCCCAAGCAGGAGACCCTACACCATTTCTGACAGATGGCAGTCCAGTCTCTTCTTTAAAGCTTCCACTGTCAACCATAAGGACGTTTCTCCTAATACGTTGCTAAAATCTACAGATCGTGGAGCCCTTCTTGAGGACTAACCTGGTGTGGAATTCACATTTATTTTTTTATCAGCAGGTCAAACTCACCCAGAGGACTTAGCAAACACAGAGACAGTGTATTTGCCTGTCTTGCTGATAGAATCTCGAACAATGAAACCGCCATCTTTGCTCTGAAATATAGAAATGCCTAAATGTTTCAGTTGTGAGGATTGAGGAATGATTAATTTTTCAGTGTAAGACAAGACCTAGATCTCTTGATGGAAGCCCCTCTTGGGCGGTTGCTTCTAAGCCCTTTGATAATGCTACACTGATCTAGAATGCTGGCTTACTAGCCCTAGTAGCAAGTAGTAGTTAGTAGTAGTAAAACTCTACGTCTACATCTATTGCATCCTTCACAAGGATTATAAGCAAAGACAAATTCTTGGCATACAATTTAGGATCTTAGAATGAAATGATATGCTATACAAACTGGTTCCTGGTCATTAGCTACTCCTGATTGGATCCAGAAACTAAGCAGAAATAAAAGGGGTCCCACAGAACAGACACAGTGTATTCACAATCATAGATGATTTCCCCCAAATCTTTATTTAGAATTCCTTGCAGTTTTTCTCAAACTTGGCAAGTTGTGTGGACTTCAACTCCCAGAATTCCCAAGCCAACAAATTCCCCCCTCCCATGTGCTGGCTGGGGAATTCTGGGAGTTGAAGTCCACACAACTTTAATTTGCAAGAGTTGAGAAAACACAAATTCCTTGCAATGAAAGGAAGAGGAGGAAGGACGGGCGAGACAGACACAAAACAATACCTCTTTCTTCAGCAATTCTTCCGCTTGCCTTCGGGTTATGTTTTTCAAATACCACCTAAAACACGACAAGATAATTGTCAAGAAAGAACACCTAGGATGAAAGTCAAGCATAGAGAGCCTTGTGGGAGGAATTTATTTGGAGTAAAGAATGAAAATGAAATTCTCCAGAAGAATTGATTTAGGGGTTCGTTCCCAAACCTGCCTTCCTGTTTGATGCCAATATGGGACAAAGCAATGTTGAGCATCTGGTCCAGAGGTGGTATTCAGCAGGTTCTGACCAGTTCTGGAGAACCGGTAGTGGAAATTTTGAGTAGTTCAGAGAACCAGAAAATCCCACCTCTGACTGGCCCCGCCCCCATCTATTCTCGGCCTCCCATTGAGTCCTAGCTGATTGGCTGGGTCTTCTTTGGTTGCCCCACACAGGAGAATGGAGCTGGAAAGCAGGTTAGTGGGGTGGAGAAGGAATGGGGATTTTGCAGTATCCTTCCCCTGCCATGCCCACCAAGCCACACCCACAGAACCGGTAGTAAAAGAATTTGTATCCCACCACTGATCTGGTCCCACCCATCTTATTACTAGCTGACCTTCTACGTCTGGAGTCCAGATGGACAAGCTATCATCTCAAATGGTGGAGGAGGAATGAAACATCTGGAGAAAGAAATCCGACTGACAATGAGGCAGAAGAGCCCAGACTTGAACTGAATAATTCAGTCCATCAGTCCTCTGCCATCTGGAGTCCATTAGATGTGTTGGAGTATATCTGTCATCTCCATGAAAGGATCCAGCCAATCAGAGGACACTCACTCAAATATCTCCAGAGAATCTCTTGTTTCGGTGATGTAATTGGAGGGGATGTAACCTTGTTTCCTGGGTGGAAGGAAGCAGAAGGGGAAGAAGAAGAAGGATGATAAGACCACTAGAGTTCTCATGCAGAACGTCTCAGGCTTCCTTTAATAAGTCTAAGAGAATGGCAAATCTAAAACTATAGAGTCTTGATGCTTACATAGCTGAGTTAAATGTAGGCATTATTGCCTTACTGAACATCACAAACAATTGTTCAAAACTGACCTTTTTTTGCCTGTCCAGTGGGAATTTCCCATGATTAAAGCACTCAAAGTCAGAAGGGATGGGTCAGATATTTTCGTCGTGCAGGTAAACAAAGACATTTGCACACCCACACACCCTTCAAAATAAACATTTGGGAACTCTAACTCCTGAAATGCTAAACCAACATCAATCTGAACCAGTATGGCTGGCTGGGGAATTCTGGGAGTTGAAGTCCATGGATCTTTGCCTGAATTGGTATTGAGTTTCCTGCCTAGGCAGGGGGTTGGATTAGAAGACCTCCAAGATCCCTTCCAGCTATTCTATTCTATTCTATTCTATTCTATTCTATTCTATTCTATTCTATTCTATTCTATTCTATTCTATTCTATTCTATTCTATTCTACTCTACTCTACTCTACTCTACTCTACTCTACTCTATTCCAGCCAACTTGAGAAACACTGATCTAGATCATAAGCCAAACCACAATGATATCTACCCCAAGACAATGTGACCATTGCCATTGCCCTTCTTTCTCCCATCTCATACCCATTCTGGTCTTGGGCTCTCCACCAGGATTCACTACTCTCCTCCAGGACGAGATATTCTTCCCCTTTCTGCAGCTGCAAATCCTGGTCATTCATGGGGGTGTAATCGTAGAGAGCGATCACCTTCCTCGTCTTGGAAGGAATGCTGGGTGTCGGCTTGGGCGGCAGAGGCTTCTTCATGAACTTTGGAAGGATTGGGAAAGCAAGGTGGAAAATATAAGGCCTTCCAGGGATCTGATCACAAGACTCAGACCCTGCCCAGGCATTAGGGGTGTCGAATCTACCCACACCAGGGGGGGGGGCCTGGTGGCTCACGTGGTTAGGACACTGAGTCAAAAGTCGATTAAGAGGTCAACAGCTCGGCAGTTCGATACCCAAGAGTGAGCCACAAGATGGAATGAGCTCCCATCAATTTGACCCAGCTCCCGCCCACCTAGCAGTTCGAAAGCATGCAAATGCAAGTAGATAAATAGGTACTACTTTGTTGGAAAAATAACTGGGGTGTGAAAAGGGCCCCCTCGGGCGTCCCCTGGGCAACTGTGATGCCACCGGCTAATCCTTTCAACCCAGAAGCCCCTTAGAAGTTGCTTCCGACATGAATGTAGTAGCCATAGGGGGTTAGGATTGTAGTAGACATAGTAGCCACACCAGCCCATAAAATTACCTGATTCTCCTCTGGCGTTGGAGGCAATGGCTTTTCGGGCTTCTGAAACAAACGGCCACTTTTGAAACCTTCAAGGAGAGGACAAGTGTGATTAATTGATTGATTATTATTTTTTGATTGATTGATATGATATGGATTGATAGAGCTGATATCCTGCCTTTCTGTGTATAGGTGGTTAACCATGACAGGTACAGTAGTCCTTGGCTTAGGATCACAAATTGGAATCAGAATTTCCACTGCTAATCAAGATGCTTGTTCAGTGAGTCCCGCCCAACGTTACAACCGTTTTTGTCATTAAAGGAATCATTGGGCATTAAGTGCATTCAGCTTCCCTCCTTGACTTTGCTTGATTGGGAAGGTTGCAAATCACATGACTCCAGGGCGCTACGACCATTATAAATCGATGCTTTGGAAGCCATATTAGCACCAGATGCTTCCACACTGCCACGTTCTCGAGCCTGGGAAAATGGGAGGGGGGAATTTCTTGGAGTGTATGTGGTTAGACACAGTAACATTCTTTCTCTAAGTCAAGGTCATGCTATTCTGCCCATAAGTGAGGTAAAGTCTCAAGTTGGGATGGATGTTGATTGGGGCATGTGATGTGATGATGGGTGCAGGGGATGGATTTGTAATTTTTTGCTTATTGCAAGGAAGTCCAGAACTTTCAGATTCGGGATTTCCCAGATGTGCCAGTTTACTATCCAAATAAAACAGAATTTTTCAGAAGATGCTTGTCTCGGAGTTATTGTTTGGAGTGGAGGAAAGCTGACACCAGCTACCAAGCACCTAATTTTTGATCATGTGGCTGTGTCTTAAGTGCGAGGACCAGTTGTAAGTCACTTTTTTTCGGTGCTGTTCTAACTCTGAACAACCACTAAATGAATGATTGTAAGTTGAGGACTACCTGCATAAATAAAGGAAGAAGCTGAGATGAGAGTGAAGACACAAGTAGAAGGCGAGGTGGTTTCTTACTTTGACTCCTGCCGGCCAAAACTTTGCATCCCATGGCCATTTTGGCGGTCTGGAGGCAACAAAGATATTGTCCATCTGTCCAGAAACAAGGATGATACTTCTGCACCAAGTTGCTGTTATAATAGGTCACTGCAGCAAATATGGAATAAGAGAGGAGATTTCTGAAGAGAATGCCAAGCAGTAACTCGGACCGTAGCAGTATGATTTATTTGTTAAAACATTCACTTAGCAATTCAACATTATATCTACATTCACTCCCTTCATTTTAACCCTGGCTCAACAAAACACAAGGACTATGTTTGCTGATCATGCAATGCCCAAACCAATCAATCTATCATATTATTACAGCTTAATCTGATGGCCTAATAATCTATTTGGAAAAGGTCTATGACCTACAATTGTCTTTTTAATTAAACCTTGTACAAACCCAGCCATTATACTGGTCTTATCCCTAGGCCCCTTGCTTGGTTGCAACCATCAATCTCATAATAAACCTTTTTCAAGAGGCAACTGGACTTTCTGGGTTTTGTTTTGTTTTTGAAGATGTTTTGCTTCTCATCCAAGAGTTCATTATCAGAGCTGAAGAAGCTTCTTGGACGAGAAGTGCGTTTTGCCGTGCCTCAGATGTTTTATTCACAGGGACTGCTATAGAGGGTAAGCATTAGAGCTTTCTTAAATGCACAGCACAGACGTAAAGCATGCATGCTCGTGTAAAGTGTGCCATCAGCGACTCGGTTGTTATACCGGTGGGATTCCACCCCTGGTTTCAAACACATGGATACTGACTGCTTTTCAGTTGATGAATCCAGCGGATCCGTAATTCCTCCATGGGAGAGAAGACATAGAGAGGTCCTTCGTCATATACAATCTTGGGGACACATAAAGCAGACATAAACAGTGGTTAAAAGATAGATAGCCCTCCACCTACAAGCATCGGTTTAGTGAGTGTACAAAGCTACAGTGGCCCTGAAAAAAAGTGAGTCATGATTGCTCCTCATACTTCCGACGGTCGCAACATCCCCATGGGTGACGTGATCAAAAATTCGGCTGCTTGGCAACTGGCATGAGATTATAGCGGTTGCGGCAACGCGGTGTTATGGGGTCGCCATTTGCAACCTTCTGGCAAGTGAAGTTAATGGGAGAAGCCAGATTCCCTTAATCACCATGTGATTCGTTTAAGAGAGCCAAGGTGGCACAGTGGTTAGAAGGCAGTATTGCAGGCTAATTCTGCCTACTGTCAGGAGTTCAATCCTGACCGGCTCAAGGTTGACTCAGCCTTCCATCCTTTCTGAGATCAGCAAAATGAGGACCCAGATTGTTGGGGGCAATAGGCTGATTCTGTAAACTGCTTAGAGAGGGCTGTAAAAGCCCTGCTAAGTGGTATATAAGTCTAAATGCTATTGCTATTAACAATTGCAGTAAATTATTTAACAACAAGGCCAAAAAAGATCATAAATTGGGCATGGCTCACTTAACAATTGCTTTGCTTAGCAACAGCAAATTCTGGCTCCGATTCTGATCATAAATAAAGGACTAGATGTATTAGGTTTGTACTGGGGGCGGGTGGGGGGGAGGTCAGGTTTACGAGCTGGATTGACCGCAGAATTCATTGGATGATTTAAAACAGTTGCTTTCTTCAGCCTTACCTGGGTGATATTGGAGCACGCTCCTAGGTAAATTTTCTTGAGAAAAGATGGGGTATTAAAAATGTATTCTTTATACACTTTTCTCAAGAAAATTGTTACCAAGGAATGTGCTACCCAGGTTAGGATGAAGAAAGTGACTGTCTTAACTCATCCAATGAATTATTGTGGTCAATCCAGCTCTTAAACCTGACTTTTCAAACCTAATATATCTAGTACAAACCTAATACATACATCTTTATATGTATATGTATCTTGGCTCCCTTAAGTGAATCCCCATGTTTGATAAGCCTTGCTCTTATTCTAACTTTATATACAAACCATAGTCATATACAAAGAATTTTGGAAAGAAATTATACACTATTACATAATAGTCAGGAGATGTCTAAGTTTAGTTGGTCTGAACCTTCTTAAGAGAAGGATATATTTTATGACTGTTTTAGGGAGCAGGTGTTGGAGACTTCAACCATCTATCTGGATGAAGGAGTCTTACAAGAAATTATCTGCTTAGAATAGTATTTGTCAATTTTGGCAACTTTAACATGCCTGGACTTCAACATCCTCTATGGCGCAGTGGTTAGAGTGCAGTACTGCAAGCTACTTCTGCAGCCAGCTGCCTACAATTTGGCAGTTCAAATCCCACCAGGCTCAAGGTTGACTCAGCTTTTCATCCTTCGAGATGGGTAAAATGAGGACCCAGATTGTTGGGGGCAAGAGGCTGACTCTGTAAACCGCTTAGAG